ACGCACGCACGCACACACGCCACACACGCACGCAAGCACGCACTCACGCGCACATCCCACACGCACGCACGCACGCACACACGCCACACACGCACGCAAGCACGCACTCACGCGCACATCCCACACGCACGCACGCACGCACACACGCCACACACGCACGCAAGCACGCACTCACGCGCACATCCCACACGCACGCACACACGCACACACACCACACACGCACGCAAGCACGCACTCACGCGCACATCACACACGCACGCACACACACGCGCACACCACACACGCACGCACGCACGCACACGCACACGCACGCACGCACACGTACACGCACACGCACACGCACACGCACACGCACACGCACACGCACACGCGCACGCGCACACGCACGCACACACACACGCGCACACCACACACGCACGCACACACACACACACGCACGCCACACACGCCACACACGCCACACACGCCACACACGCACGCACACGCGCACACCACACACGCACGCGCGCGCGCACACACACATGCACACATAAATACGCACACGCACGCACAGCACACACGGCACACACGCATATACACACAGTGACACACTGCACGCACGCACACGCACACGTACCCGCACACGCACGCACACACACGTACACACGCACATACACGCACACACACGCACGTACAGCACACACGCACATACATCCAATCAAACACTCTGCATGCACGCACACACACAACACACACATACGCACACCACACCCACACACACATACAAACACATCGGTACACAACACCAACGCTTGCACGCACGCACACACACATACAGCGCACACACCCGCGGCCACGCGTTGATCATACGGCCTCGCAGCGGGGCGTCGGCCGTGTGTTTCAGCGCTATAAATGAGCAGCTTACATTTCCTCATCGTTTGTTACAAACCCGGCAAAATGCATGTGTGAAAACAGATGGATGTTGAAAGGCGACAGGCGGCCGTCGTCTGTGCTTCTTGTAACAATATCACCGCGTGTAAGAGCGATATGTGTGAACTGTGACAGCAGTCACATATCATATACACGCGCGACGGCGCCCGCCTAGCGAGAAAATGTGAAAATGTGTTCAACGCTGAGATGAAATTTCCAAATACATTCGTGCGCTCAATTCCCGCAACGGGAAATGAAAGCAAGCACAATTATAACATTTTATAGCCGGCAGCATCAAATTATAACTGCTCACAACATATCATAACACCGACATAAATATTACCACATTTTACTGTTTATATGTGATGCTAACATAAAATTGGATCTGCCCCGTGCATATTATAGCAATACCACTAGTTTACAATACTTTATACCCGGTTACAACATGTTAGGAAACGTCGGTACCACAGGACGTTACAACATCACGATTCTGAATGAATTATAGAAAACCATATGTTTAGATACGTTATGCTTGACATATAAATGCTGAACAGTTCTCACTGAATATCCTTGAAACTGACATTGGCTTGCCCTTGTGGTATTATCACGAGCGAATAACACCTATCAAGAGCTAATAATTAAAAGGATTATTAGCTCTTGATATTATATGTGCGCGTGTGTGCGTGTGTGCGTGTGTGCGTGTGTGCGTGCTGTGTGTGTGCGCGCGTGCGTGCGCGTGTGTAATAACGCTGCGTTCATAATGCACAAGGTAAGAATAGTTTTGCCTCATACATAGCCAAAGGGGGTCAGAAATGTACAAAAATTAAGCTGGAGAAGGTGGCATCACATACTCACCCCACGCTTCACCAACCATAGCACATCACATCAACGCTCTCGAGGACCTCTCTCGATTGTCAACAGACAGTGGTGAAAATGCAATCATGATAAAACCGCATGAACGCACGTACTCATATATACTTACAGAAGCATTTCATGACTTTGGTTAAATCAAGATGGAAGTGCTGCACCAGGCCATACTCAATAAATAGATGCGTACAAATATACCACAGCGACTGACCTGAAAAGCAAAACAGTTCTTGTAGATTAACTACACGATTCATGCGGAAAAAATCTAACAGCGTTAATCTCTCTCTCCATCCGGAAATAGCATTTGGGATAGAAGAATAACATATGATTCCTTAGATAAATCTAACATGACACAGACTCTGTTTTCAAGGGGGTATAAGCCAGTCGTTGAGGTTTTACTGAGCCAATGCTGCCACGCTCTAGCATATAGTTAGCAAATGTATGCACGAGCCAGCGGTGACGCAGGCGATGAAACTATTAGATTCAGATGATTCCTGCATGACTGCAATTTGCTCCCAAGGCCACAACGGCAACAAAATTAGTTATTGAGTTGTAATTATGCTACCATACAGGATACAGCGAAGATGCAAAATTAAATAAGAGGGCAGAAATATAGGATCAAAAAATACATTTTACGAAATAGTAGTAAACTTCATAGACAAACATGTCACGTGCAACCAGCCGAAGGCATACTTTACAGCACTGGTAAACTTTCTTTTTTAAATTTCACATTGAAAAATCAGTAGGTGTCAATCTGAGAAAAAAAATTACAGCTAAACCTTAGACCATGAGCAAATTTTTCGATAACTGTTTGTGCATCTTTTCACTGGTTTACCCATACTAACCATAGGTGATCCTGTCTAGAATAAAAATGTTGAATTTCCAATTGCTGACATGGTTCAGCAATAGCGCCACCTGTTGGTGGTAATGCTCATCTATCACAGCATTGCTATCAGAGTTTTTGCAGTCACCAGGTTGACATCTACTGCGCTTCTGACGATTCAGACTATGGAATTGACTAGTCAGCCGGTTTGTCACCTCCCTCGAGTCAATATCTGTCAATCAAAGAACAATCAAATTAGTTAAAAATCAATAACGACTCAGCATCACAAGATCAATGCCATCTACACAAGATCAACATACTGATCATCACATGATCAACATCTTCATCATCATGTGATCAACACCTTCATCATCATGTGATCAACACCTTCATCATCACATGATCAACATCTTCATTAAAACCTTCACCATCACAGGGTCAACATCTTCATGATCATGTGATCAACACCTTAATCATCACATGATCAACATCTTCATCATCATGTGATCAACATCTTCATCATCACATGATATAAACACCTATAGTTACAAAAATGGCAATGAAACTACACACGCGCAATCATGGTAGGGATAAAACTGAGCAGAGATGGGAAAGTTAAACAGCGTGGGATATTAGTAGCTGAGAATAGCTAGATAACTCTATAATGAAATAACATGATACTAGGAACCGTTTCTTCCCCCCGCCCCATCGTCCGCATGTGCTATATGACGCATATTTCGTGAGGTTCTGTTAGACATTAGCTGCAACGGGAAGCCAAGTCTCAAATCATACGATCAACAAACTGTGTGTGCCGCAGCTCGGTTTATGTAGATGCAAAAGCTGCGCTGACAGCACATACATTCTTGGTATGCTGGTTCACAGAAAAAAAAAACGTACAAAGAGTTCAATGAAAGCACTGCGTTCATCGGGTTGAGTCATGCCACACGTAAAAAAGTAGTCTCGGCTCTGATTATGTGCTTTCTGTGCGACTGACTAGAGGACGCGTGAGAATACCGCAAAAACCGAGTCAACGGCCGTATAATTTGTTCGGGTAAAGGTTAGCGTAACCGGCGACAACAACACATGACCGATGTCTCTTCTTCGCTGAGCTATTCAGTCGGTGGTAATGAGGAAGGCACGACATGTATATGTTATTATTTTCCAGCCGACTATGCAGCAATGAGACAGAACTTAGCAGATCTCCGCTTGCTGACATTTATTATTCATGCGACGGATTATACGCACAATGTTTTATTCATGCCATTCAAGCGAATGTGACACATTTTACCATTTTAGTAATAATTAATGTGCACGAATTGAAGAGAAAAACTAGTATAAGTTAGTGCAGAAATAAAATCTAAGAAGTTAAATCCTCTAAAAAGAATGGCGACGTGTCTCAGAGCGTTGTCGCAATCACTACGCCTGTCAACGAAATGATTATTCTGTCATAGCGTCGTATAGCGTAGCATAGCTGTATAGTGTGTTCGCAACGCGTGGTAACCCAGGTTAGGTGATCATTACGCATATTGCATAGATGCACAATGTGAAATACCACCGCACGTATCAGCGGGTACCAGTGACGCCAAACGCTGGTTGGATCCCGGGCATTCGGTAGGCGCACTTGACTACCTAACTAACAGATACAGACCGTTGTCCGTTCTCTATCCGAAACGACGACAGCAAGCGCAGTGTTCTCAATCAATGAGTATACAGACTGAGTTCTCGATACAAACCGTAATGTCTCAATACATCGCAAAGCATCTGAGGGCCGGCTGAAAAATCCATGGCCAGTCGGTCATTCCCGCTCCGAGTTTACTGTAGGCGTTCTAAAGCATTCTCGGTGAATTTCACTCACGAACGTACATGTGAATGCTGCCCTTAGTAAGCACGCTGATCAGTGGGTCGTCGTTCCTGACCTCTGTACTGTGGCAGTGTTGAAACGCAGCAAGGATCAACAATGGACAGCTAACACTTCACGTTGAAATGCAGCAAGGAACAACAATGGACAGCTAAAGCTCGGCGCATACGTGAGAAGTTTTATTCAAGTAAAATTACGCATGAGTCATTTTACTCACGTGTGCGGCGGATTTTCGTTGAGTAATTTGACGCATGCGTCATTTTACTCACGTGTGCGGCGGATTTTCGTTGAGTAATTTGACGCATGCGTCATTTTACTCGCGTGTGCGGCGGATTTTCGTTGAGTAATTTGACGCATGCGTCATTTTACTCAATATCAAACGTGTTTAATAATTTTTGACTCATGCGTCATTTTACTCAACGTGTGCGCGTGCGCTGAGTAAATTTACTCAAGACTGGTACTCACAGCGCATGCGTTTAAATCATCGTGCGCCCAGTATTGGCTGCGCGCAGTCACGTGATCTGCATTACCACTTATACCTTGAGTAATTTTACTCACGTGTGCGGCGAATGCTGAAAATATGACGCGTGAGTAAAATGACTCATGCGTCATTTTACTTGAGTAAAATTACTCACGTGTGCGCCGGGCTTAACACTTCACGTTGAAACGCAGCAAGGAACAACAATGGACAGCTAACACTTCACGTTGAAACGCAGCAAGGAACACCAATGGATAGCTAACACAGTGACACTTCACGTTGAAACGCAGCAAGGAACAACAATGGATAGCTAACACTTCACGTTCAAACGCAGCAAGGAACAACAATGGATATCTGTCACTTCACGTTCAAACGCAGCAAGAAACAACAATGAACAGCTAACACTTTACGTTGAAACGCAGCAAAGAACAACAATGGACAGCTAACACTTTACGTTGAAACGCAGCAAGGAACAACAATGAACAGCAGACACTTAACGTTGAAACGCAGCAAGGAACAACAATGGATAGCTAACACTTCACGTTATAGCGAAGCTTCGCTGGCCAGTAACTCTTACTGAGTGACTCTATGAATATTTCATCTCTCTTGTCGTCTCTCTTATTCGTACGTAACATAAAATGCCGCGATTCATCGGAGGTATTAGTAGGATATATAGCTGTTAGGTCTCGTGTTCTAACCAATGAAACTACTCACATGCGAAGGATGTATCTCATAATCTACTAACCAAACTCTCGAATGATAAATTGAGATCGATTGATTTCGTTAAAGGGCATATGAACACGAGGGTAACGAAAGGAGTAGCAGACACTCAGCTGCAGCCAAATGTCATACCATGACTTAGATTGGGTAGATATTGGAAAGACTATTAAACGCGATAGACTAATATAATATATGGTCAGAATTAGAATTAAGGTTAGTGTGCAGCTGGGATAGAATTAGTACTGGGGTTAGGATTGGAGTTAGGTTTAGTCTTAGGATTAGGGTTAGGGTTAGTGTTAGGGTTAGCGTTTGGGATTGTGAGTAGGTTAGGGTTGGTGTTAGGATTAAGGATGGCGTTAGGGTTAGGTTAGGATTAGAGTTAGGTTCAGTGTTAGGATTAGGGTTAGCGTTAGGGTTTGGGATCGGGTTAGGGTTTGTGATTGGGGTTAGGTTAGTGTTAGGGTTAGTGTTAGGGTTATCATTAGCGTTAAGGTTAGTGTCCGGATTATGGTTAGGTTTGTGGTCAGCATAGGATGCCTATACAGTATACATCACCCCTGGTTCTAGGGCAAACAAAGTATGCCTGTAATCAAACCTACAGCTGTGCTCACACCAAATACGATTGAATTCGAGCCAAATCCACATAGAAAAAAACATCTGAGTCACGTTGATCCATTATGCTTACCAACAGAAGGTAACAGGGTAATACGTTAAAAAGAAAACCGATGGAATTTGTTTTTCAGTGAAACGAGTTGCCACGAGAGACTCGCCGTTGCATTCTGATTAGTACGAGCCGACAGCGTTGGTTACTTGATTTTGTAACCACGCAAGCCTACAGCGATAGAAAATGTTGCGGGGAAGGATAACGAAATCGTAAATAAAAATGGCCGCACTTTCCTTGCATTCTTTTCAAATGCTTCAGCTGAAAACGTGATACGAATGTGTGGCTGCCACATACAGCGATATTGCTCCACGGGGTGTAAAATGCGAAAAACACTTGCAACGCGTTTCGCGCAGAATCAAGCAGTAGAGCAACGCTAACTCGGTTGCTATGACAATAATTACCAGAAAACCGGAAACAGGCCCGTGGCAACAATTTTCGCGCACGCAGCGCAACCGCCGCGTGAAACAGTTCAGATAGAGCACAAAGGGACATGCAGCGAAAGAACCGCCGGCGCCGAATTTGTAAACGACCACTGCCTATTCGAAAAGTGAAGGCTGATCAAATCTAGTAGACTAGCCGGAAGACTACAATACGCAACTTGTACGACCATAAATGTACTTGGCGCAACTGCCTGGCCGCAACGCGTCAATAGCAGAGCGTTGCCGTGTATCACAGACACACGTAGCTAACCCTTTGCTAACATGTTTATCCAGACTATTATATAAAAAAGGCGCCTGATCCACAAAAGGAAAAATTGAACAAATTAGGACCAAGTTATTAACAAAGCAATCATCGAATGCGGCGGTTGATTAAAGACAGCAGACAGACTGCAGCAGTACATACCTTGCGGGTGTGGTGGGGGAGATGGGAGTGTGGCGGGGGAGGGGCGGGTGTGGCGGTAAGGGGATGGGGCTCATAATAAGTCCAGCAAATGTCCCCATGGTGTACTTTGTCATTATTAACCCCTGATATATATATATATATGCGTTTTGTTGGAATATTAGAAAACTTGCTTCTTGGCTTAGTGCTTTAGAATAAGACACCAACGTCTTTTGATTACGTGAAATAATGGTGCTTTGCTGTATTGCATGTCAGCAGTTCGCTGAGTGTTCGATCCATCTGAGGCAACGTTAGAACCTTGTGTGTGATTTCAAAAGTATTTCTGAAACCATCCCCACGGCTTTCTGCACGAGACTCCCGCTTGTGCTTTCGAAGAAGTAATTACAGAAAATTGGACAAAATGAGAACCGCTGTACTCTCGACACTTGTGAAAATGAAAAGCAGGTACGGTAATGCATGCGGACGTCGTGTTATGGATACCGAGTCTGCAGTTCCCCGCAGTGATAGAGATACTCCTCACGAATGATCACTTTCACAGCATCATTGTGCAAGCAGTATCTTATATATCAAGCAAAAACTAATTTAAAAAATGATTTGAAAAACGCTCACATAGTAGTTGCATAGCTCTGTGCATAATAAACCACACGTTGTGTATGTATAGGTGTACGTGGTAACAGAAATCTATGGTACCATCTCTATATCGTCTATACCTAGGTATAGGTCTATATCTATCTGTCGACCGCCCGACAGAGCAGATGAGCACCCGAAGTGAGTGTGCACGCGCGCGTGTATCTGCGTGTGCGTGGGTGCATATAGATGTGTTTACGTGTAGTTACACTTCGCAGTTGATTTAAATTATGCTTCAACGTAGAGGTATCAGCCTGGTCGCAATTATCTCCCAATGCACATGTCTTGGCTTTATCTAGATGTGCGTCTCAATAGCGTGCGTCGCAATAGATCCTAACGTCAACTCGTCCTCGTCTCCATTATGCTAACATACAGATGTCGCAACTTTACCTAGGAGCTGGTCTCTCTTATCAAGTCATTACCTGCATGTATACGTCTTAGCCGCAATCGAAAGCCGAGAATCAGTTATGGCAAAATTCTAGATGTCTTTGCATTTGCAAACCTAGATTCGGTTATGGCTAACTATAGATTTCGTAGCTTGAAGTGAAGACTGGTCTCCGTCTTAGAGTGAATTATCGATCACGCCACCTAGCGAATATTAAAGGTCAGCGGTATGTTTCACACAGAATGCAAGTAAATTCTCAGAATAAAAGGAAACCGTTCAGAGTCCAACCAGCGTGAATGTTTTTTTTCTGAGCTAAGTCGCCACAGAACATGCGCCAGAACAGTCACCTCTGTCAGACGTAAAGGATATGAAAAAGGCTTTTGCTATAGTACACTGGTTAAGAGCTGTTGTTGGTAAATTTCTGTGAAAACTATACGAATATCTGATTCCAAGGCGCCACTTTGCAACGGGACTACCACCCTAGAAGTCGTTCCATTATCAAACGTAATTGATAACCTGCGGCCTACTTCTCTAAACTGTGTACTACCTGGTAACTTGGTAAAGCGAATTTTGTTTGAACTATTGATATATTATTATTATTATTATTATTATTATTATTATTATTATTATTATTATTATAAACAAACCCAGCACCCATAATTGTGCATAAACTGATATTAGTGGAACAGACACTGAAAAGAGACGGTTAGTGAAGGATAAAAAATAGGTAGACGCAAATAATGAAACAGGCTGAATAATAAATTGTTGATAATAAAACATCTAGTTTACATTTAATCAATGCATTAACTCTAACGTGATGAAAATTATCACATCACAACCACAGCTGGCATTCCGCTTTATATTAACGCTAATGACAGGCTTTAGAACTTTAGTTATTTTGACTAGACAGTAGACAGGCAAAATTCAATATAATCATTTTTAGGTTGTAAGCAAAAAAAGACGTCTCTAAACGAAAAAACTGTTACATGTCCAATTTACAATTGCACGAAAAACCATGAAAATCGTCTACTGACCAAATGAAATCTTCACCTTCTGTGTGAGTTTTATATGCCCTCTCAAATTTGCCATCTATTATGAAAGAATATTTGACTGGAAGCCAAGCAAAGATAATAAATAACAGCTAGGGCCCCTTGCATAATTTGAACCATTTTCCCGCTAAGCCATCTATTGCCCTTGTGCCACATATTTAAGCAGATCGGTCCTATATCAGGTTAACTGCGAATATGCAGATCAAAATAAACTCTGCCATTCACATACGAAAATAACCGGCGACACTACGACTCTCTCTAAGACATCATCGCTTCACTCCAACATATCTTAGAAAGTTTCTCTCCATACACCTATGGTAAAAACTTGTGACATTCTTTGTAATATTATATTGCCACATTATCTCAACTACCAGCATATCAGCTGCGAATTATTACAAGATAAATCGTAAAAAATGCTCACGCGTCGGTCCCAAAAATTCATGTTTTTGAACAACCTAGATCTCATAACAGCGTTAAAATAAACATGAAAATTCCATAGTATCTAGTTCACTTGCGCAGCATGCCAATTTCGTGTATTTATTTATGAATGAATCTGCTAGTTCATTAGCTGCTTTCACAACCGTGTCCCGTGTCCCGTGGCTAAACATTAAATAACTAAAATGACAATGTAGCTTCTGCGAGAAAACGTTGGCGTCAAACGTGCGATAAGCAGAAGTGACTGTTGCGTCTGTCCTTTGAGCCTAGGACCACGGACATACTGCTTACCTGTAATGTTAGACATTACTGCTCACCTGTAATGTTAGATATTACTGCTCACCTGTAATGTTAGATATTACTGCTCACCTGTAATGTTAGATATTACTGCTCACCTGTAATGTTAGACATTACTGCTGCACGGCAATGTTAGACGATTACTGCTCCACACTGTAATGTTAAGATTACTGCTGCAACGCTGTATTTACGACATTACTGCTCACCTGTAGATGTAGACATTAATACTGCTACACTGTAATGTTAGATATTACTGCTCACTGTAAAGTGTTAGAATTACTGCTCACCTGTAATGGTTAGACATTACTGCTCACGATGTAATGTTAGACAATTATTGCTCACCTGTAATGTTAGATATTACTGCTCACCTGTAATGTTAGAGCATTACTGCTCACGCTGTAATGTTTAGACATTACTGCTGCACTGCTGTAATGTTTAGATATTACTGCTCTCACTAGTAATGTTAGACATACGCTCACACTGTATTTTAGATATTCTGCTACCTGTAATGTTAGATCATTAGCTGCTCATCCCTGTAACTGTTAGATCATTACCTGCTTCACAGGGACTGTAATGTTAAACATACTGCTGCACCTGTAATGTTAGATATTACTGCTCACCTGTAATGTTAGATATTACTGCTCACCTGTAATGTTAGATATTACTGCTCACCTGTAATGTTAGACATTACTGCTCACCTGTAATGTTAAACATTACTGCTGAAATGAAATAAGTGTAGACTTCCGGCTCACCATTTATCAGTTTGTTATCTTCTGAGGTCAGTGCAGGGTGCCTATGCTCCTTTTGCTGTTGCTCAGGCCTTTCCCTTCCTTTAACATCACCTGAGCAATAACGAAAAATAGCATTAATATTATCCGATCCCAATAAGAACGGTTTTAGCCTACACAATAGATTTCATACCCATCGTGTAACAAAGCCAACGCTGACTTTCGTTTTAACTGACTCAATGAGGTCAGGAGATTGCCCAGTAGTCCAATGGCGTTGATAATGAATGCTAACAAAGGACTAATGGATCGACAACAATGGCAATAAACAGCTACAATATGACACAATATACACGCTTTCACTAACGCACAAATCCAATGGCATCGCCCTCTGTCTTACTACATACAGCCACGTCCACGCTCCCTCCACCCAGTGCTATCGGCCTTATATGTCCCGCATCCACCCCGAAACACGTGTTTAAAAGATTATACAAGTTGACCACTGACGACACGACAATTTCACACATTTCCGTCGAGCTCTCAGCTCCTTCCGGTCATACTAGAGCATCAGATTACTACTGGTTACTCCATGCCATTAGTTGCCGCAGTCAGGTGGCGCCTATTTATTTTCTTTCGTCCCAAAAAACCCTAAGCCAGCCATAGAGTGTTTTACTTTCCAGGGGCGAACGGAATGTAAATATCGCTGCTCTGGTTACATTTCGTTTACTTTTTACTGCCCCGTAACATCGACATTTGCACAAACTCACACACGCATGCACACATTCATGCACACGCAGCCACGCAGCCGTGTACTAGTAGGTCAGGCAGACAGGCAGGCAGGCAGGCAGGCGCGCGTGTGTCAAGTCACTTCAGGCATTGCACGTCAGGATGCCGCATAATTGGCAAAACCGAGAGTATAGTTGCAAAATTAAAACGTGTGACTTGCAACTTATTCACTAGTATATTAGGATTTCACTTTAAAGCTAACCTTTAATAGCTGTCGCGGAGACATACTGCTTCGATCGATGATATCTTATGTAAAATTGTTGTTTATGTTGTCTGCGAACATGTTGCATATCACTGTGGTTACGTCCTACGTATTCACCTTCATCTGCGCATGCTCGGTCTTCCACACCTCTGATACGTCGGTTAAATTAAGTATTTACTAAACCCATTACAATAACCATAATACTGACATTTGGTGACTGAGGTTGTGTGGCTTCCGCGTCTGCCTCACAGTTTAGGCGCGATAAGTTCACGAGTATGCTATTCACTCTAACAACACAGCTATGTCTAGCACTATAGACTCATTGGGGCATAATGTGAAGTAATGAATGCCATAGTGATTGAGCTAACGTTACGCTAACCTTACGTCCGGTTAAGTCGCGTATGTGTAAATGAGACACATTTTATATGCTGCATACTAACTATATCAGGCGATTTATTTCATATCTGACGAACTGTTACAATCAATCATCGCAATTCGGAAAGTTAGTATTACGAGAATGGAACTAACTAATTCACAGCGAAATGTCGCAAGTCAGCCAATCAGTCACGCCGAAACAAAATTAAACAAAATATTTCAAAATTACTTTCGTGCCAATTCTAATGCCGCGCAGAAATTACTGCTACCGGCACGCTTTGCCACCACAAATTAAAAATAACAAAACCACCAACTATAAAAACATTGTTCTCCAGCAACCAGATGTATTCTGCAGCACTCCCCTGTGACTGATTCTAGAACTTACCGCGTGAGAGTTCAGTGACTGTGTGCTTAACAGAGCACATGGTTTCCGCAGCATCACTCGAGAGTTCTTTGAATAACATCATCCCGTTCATGTCAACACTATCACGGCCCGCCGTACTTGCAGAATTCTCTGTTACTCACGCACACCACATCGTACCGTCTGTCTTTCGCGAACCGGCATCAAAACAGCAGCATTCGATCAGTAGAAACTGCAGTACTAGCACGAGAAGCAAGCGAGGCCGGTACGTCACCGATCAGCGTTTCACAACGCGTCTGGTTTATAGTGTGACTACAAACGTCACGCACAGTGCCTGTCAGGACTACCACTGAAATATGTCTAACTCACACAGGCGCGCGGCGCACGCATACTAGAGTCGGATGGAAATCAAGTCATCAGGTCTCCGCTCTGCGGATGCCAGTGAGACATCGCGACCCGAGAGCGTGTGTATGTGCGTGCGTGTGCGTGTGCGCGCGCGCGCTTTTGCGTTTGGGTGTGTGCGTGTGTGGACGCGTGCGTATGTGCGCGCGTGCGCGTCTACGTGCGTGCGTGTGTACGTGCGTGTGTGCGCGCGCTATGAAGCCCACTGATAGCCCCCAGCAAACAGCAGAACCGGGGCACGCTGCTATTTATATTACGCCATGCGCCTGCGATCAACATTGGACGAAGACGATGACGATGATGGTGATGATGATGATCACCGGCGGGTGATGAGGAAAGCACAGCTACCGTGCCGACGTAAAACAACAACATTGCCCCCTCCCTCTGCGCGCGCGTGTCATGTACAGGCACACGCTCGCTGCAAGCAGGAACTAACAGGCCGCTGTGAGCGAGCGCGGCAAGCCCGCAGGCGGGAGCGTGCTATTCATTCCAAACGTTACCCCGGTTACGATGCACCCGCCGGTTTAGTCATCGCTGTGCTATGAGTAGGAGTTAGCTATTGGTGGGTTTAGTCATGGCTGCTGGTATGGGTAGGAGTTAGCTATGAGTGGGTTTAGTCATGGCTGCTGGTTATGGGTAGGAACGTTAATTAGCTATGAGTGGCGGGTTTAGTTCAATGGCTGCTGGCTATATGGGTAGGCAGTTAGCTATCGCAGTGGGTTTAAGTCATGGCTGCTGCTATGGTTAGAGTCTAGCACGAGGATGTCGGTTTAGTCATGGCTGACTGCTATAATGGGTAGGAGTCAGCTGACGAGTGGGTTTCAGTCATGCGCTGCGCTGCTAATGGATAGGAGGTTAGTACGAGTGGGTTAGTCATCGGCTGCGTGTATATGGGTTAGAGTTAGCTACGAGGGTTTAGTCCATGGCTTGATGCTGATGGGTAGGAGTTAGCTATGAGTGGAGTTTAGTCATGACTGCTGCTATGGGTATGGAGTTAGGCTATGAGTGGGTTTAGTCATGGGCTGCTGCCTATATTGGGGTAGGAGTTAGCTACGATGATTGGGTTTAGTTCCTCATTTTTTTGGGGGGGGGGGGCTTTGCTGCTATATGGGTAGGAGTTAGCTCGGTGGGTTTTAGTCAATGGCTGCTGGTATGGGTAGATGTTAGCTACGAGTGCGGTTTAGTCCTGGCTGCGGCTATGCGCGTAGGAGTTAGCTATGAGGTGATGTTTAGTCGCATGGCTGCTGCTATGATGGGTAGGAGTTAGTGACGAGTGGGTTTAGGCATAGCTGCTGCTATATGAGGTAGGAGTTTAGCTATGAGCTGGTTTAGTCATGGCTGCTGCTATATGGGTAGGAGTTAGGCTAACGAGTGGGTTTAGTCATGGCTGCTGCTATATGGAGTAGGCAGTTAGCTACGAGTGGTTAGTCATGTCCTCGCTGCTATGGGTAGCGCCGTAGCTACGAGTGGTTTAGTACATGGCGCTGCTATAAATGGTAAGGCAGTTAGTACGAGTGCGGTTTAGTCATGGCTGCTTGCTTGATGGCGTAGGGAGTTAGCTCGAGTGGTTAGCGTCATGGTGGCTCGGTATAATGTAGGAGTTAGCTCATGAGTGGGTTTAGTCATGCGCTGCTGGTATTATGCAGGTAGGCAGTTAGCATGGTGGGTTTAGTCAATGGCTGCTGCTATATGAGGTAGGAGGTTAGCTATGAGCTGGTTTAGTTATCCGCTGCTGCTATGCGGTAGGAGTTAGCTATGAGTGGGTTTAGTCATGCTGCTTGTATATGCGTATGAAGTAGCGATGAGTGGTTTAGTTATCGCTGTGCTATGGGTAGGAGTAGCTATGAGCTGGCCGTTTAGTCATCGGTGCCTGCTATGATGGCGGAGGACGTTAGCATATTGAGTGGGTTTAGTTATCGCTGCATGCTATGAGGTAGGCAGTTAGCTATTGTGTGGGTTCTAGTCATGGCTGCTGCCTATATGCGTAGGAGTTAGCTCATATGAGTGGGTTTAGCTTATCGCTGCTAGCTATCGGGTAGGAGGTAGCTATTGTGTGGGTTTATCATCGCTGCTGATGATCATGGGTAAAGAGTTAGCTACGAGTGGGTTTAGTCATGGCTGCGCTGCTAATGGCTTAGGAAGTTAGTATGAGTGGGTATTAGTCATAGGCTGCTGGTATGGGTAGGAGTTAGCTCACGAGTGGGTTTAGTGCAATGGCTGCCTGCTATATGGTAGGCAGTTAGCGAACGAGTGGGTTCTACGTCATGGCTGGCTGTATGGGCCTAGGAGTTAGCTTATGAGTGGGTTGGTCATCGCTGCTGCTGATGGGTAGGAGTTGAGCTATGTGAGGTTTAGTCATGGCTGCGCTGATATCGGGTAGGATTAGCTATGGAGGGGTTGTCTCGGCTGCTGCTATATGTTAGGGAAGTTAGCTACTGGTGGGGTTTAGTCACTCGGCCTGCTGATGAATATGGGTAAGAGTTAGCTTACGAGTGGTTTAGTCATGGCCTGCTGGTATGGGTACGAGTTAGCTAGACGAGTGGTTAGTCATGGCTGCTGCTATGATGCGCGTGCGAGTTAGCTATGAAGTGAGTTTTAGTCATGGCTGCTGCCTATATGGGTAGGAGTATGCTATGAGTGGGTAGTTCATGGCGTGCTATCATGGGTAGGACTTAAAGCTATGTATGGTCTTACGTCATGGCTGACGCTTCTATATGCGGTAAGAGTTAGCTACGAGTGCGGGTTTTATCATGGTGCTGGCTATGATGAGGTAGGAGTTCAAGCTGCATGAGGGGTTTAGTCATGGCTGCTTGCTATATCGGGTTAGGAGCAGTATGAGTGGGTTTAGTCATGGTTGCTGCTATATGGCGTTTAGAGTTAGACTGGATGATGGTTTAGTCAATGGCTTGTGCTATCGATGGGTAGGAGTTAGCTATGAGTGGTTTAGTATGGCTGACACACAGCACAGCCCTGCTATATGGGTAAGAGTTA